ATTGTGCAATAGACCAAATTTGCTCAGAAATGGAACGCATTAGCTACATGGGCTTGGGACGTTGACTGCGATACGTGTGCCATTTGTCGAGTCCCGTTAATGGAAGAATGTCTCCGATGTCAAGCAGATTCCGCAAGCGATTGCGTCGTGGTTTGGGGCGATTGTAATCATGCATTCCACAATTGCTGCATGAGCCAATGGGTGAGACAAAATAACCGATGTCCACTCTGTCAGCAGGATTGGATCGTACAAAGAATTGGCCATTAGCACATGCTTTACAACCGATCTGCTGTACAGTCTAGTCTGTCACTTCACCGTGTGCTTTGTAATATTGACTGATAATATAAATTCGTATACATTTTGATGTAAGACTTCTTAAAAATCTTCATCTTAATGTTTTACTCAGTATTAATTATCGTTGTTTGTTAGTAGAAAGGCCATCGCATTCTCTTCACAAGTTGTTCGCGCTCTTCGTTGTAGGATTTGGGCCTTGATTTCAGCTCAGCAGTTGCTACCAGGGTAGAAACATTAAATGGATTTCTTAGCACATCGTAATGTTCGAATTTCCAGTTTTTATCCTAAATTGGATTCACGGTCAACTGATATTTTCCATTGCGGTTAATGAAGTTACCGTTTGATGTATAAGGGTTTCTCCGTTGTCGAACATCACTATGTCGGTGAAGTAGTAGTCGTTCACGCAGTGTACTTCGATCCACTGCCAGTTTGTGGTGTCTAGCACACCTATTCTACAATAAATGTCCATCGTTGAAGGTTAGGTATATCCTTGAATTTGAAACACTTACTTAGCCGCTGGGTTATACATTAAGCGCCCTCTCATGGTAGTCATTGCAAGGGCGAGGTGTAGAAACATAGGTGCAATCCTAAAAGATATCTTTCTTTTTCATACGTTCTTATAAAAATGAAAAGTTTTACCATGAGAAATGATCTGCTGTGTAATAAAATGCTCTCCAAACATGACGACTCCATCTTTGAAGAAGTCGAGCAAAATGGGCATAATAACTATCTGCTGGGCGCCCATACGTAGTTAACAAGGATATCTGCAAATCTATTAACTACAAGGAGCGGGCACATAGAATTCGAGCGGGAAATGAAACCTGTCCGCTGAGACTATGCAGGGCAGTACTGTCGATTGGCAATTGGTCATGTGAATCGCGTGGAAAGCCAGTATTCTTATCCGCACTACATGTGATCACCCGCCAATTTCCAGTGCTAAAAGTAGTCCAGTCCTGGAGTTGAACAGATCAATGTGTCCGACTCAATTTATGGGGTTATCTTATGGAGCATATAGAACGGTCGTGATGCGCTTTAGTGGAGGAGTCGAAACGCACGAGTATGACGGGGCTGTTTCTTTACTTCGAGCTAGACAAACCATATCTGGCGGTTTTTCGCAACCATAAAGAAACACTGCAAGCTGTGGCCATTGTGATTGCTATTCATTATTGCCATTACCATTTGCAACTCAGAAAGAGGTCATCTCAGCAATGACGACATAGATTGCTATCTTGAGAATGGAAGTTGCTTAAAGTTACGAATTTGAAATGTTTTTGTGCTCCATGCTGAACTAATAACTATCAAATACATTTTTCTTCAAATGATGTTCAGAGTGAACCTTGGCTGCGCTTGTGTCAAACATAAAGGGGAACGAGTTATATTTGTTTACGATTTATCTGGACATACTTGATGTCAACGACTGCAATGGTGAAGGGGTCGGGACATATGCCCTGTCCTCGATCAAGGAAGAACGCCAGTTCATTGATGCTGATAAACTGGGGCGACTCCCAACGAGATAGCGCAGCACCGTGTTGTGACAATACTTGAGCGTTTACCTAAAGCAAATGGTAGCAAGAGTACTTCAACTTTGCTACTCCGTAAAAAGCTTCTTACCCCTTGAATCAATGCAGAGCAGCTCCTATCAGAATTCTTGGACCAAGGCAATTTTGGAATTAGGTGACAGCAAAACGCTGCCTCTGGCCCTGAATGGTTTACAGGATAAGTTGGGTTTTCATTGTTTTTAAAGGTGTGGCAAAGGCTAAACTGGTTATGTGCCTACGGGAGTTGGGTGGAGCAAAAATGACGCATTCTTCTTGTCCGACTACACAATGTACAAAGAAGAAGGCTACACTCGTCGCCACGCAGTACGTTCGCTCAATAAAATGTCCGCCGGTGAATGAGTTTTGATCGAGCTGAAATTGCGATTCTAGTAGTAAGAGTTGGACTCTGGCCCTCATATTTGGTTTATCCCCGAATTAAACTCACAATTATGCCCGTTTGCTTCACATTAGCATTCAGTTCGGAATAGTCGATAAGCATGAACGAAGTTGGCGAAATGGCGTAAAATCCGAGAACAAAGCCGACATCCTGAAGTAATGCCTTGAATTTGTTCCCGATTAGATCGGCCTCATTTGCATTTAACTTCGTTTTCACATTGAATAAAAGTGTGGCTGTCTGTGCTTTGGATGCCTTGCTATGATTCTGAGGCAGTCTAGCAATGCTGGGAAAGCTAATAAACCTATTTAATCTTTTTCTGAGAAGACATTAGTGTGCCAACAGCGAAGGCAAAGAGAGGTTTCATAAGTGCCATTTATGCTAATTGCGTTATTGCTTGTGTTAGGTTTATGAGGGATAACCGACCTAGACATAGATGTTCTTAAAATGGAGTTGTTCA